GAATGTATGGCACAGACGTTTGTTGAATTTTATTCTTCAGTATTATTTGCCTCTCTGTCTAAGTAGGTTTTTCCATGGCCCATGTCATCATGATATCTTGGGGCAGGGCTGCCCAGAGGGGGGGGGGGGCGAAATGGGGCAATTTGCCCCAGGCCCCACAAGGGCCCCCACGAGAATATAGTATTCTATAGTATTGCAACTTTTTTTTATGGAAGGGCCCCTGAAATTGCTTTGCCCCAGGCCCCCTGAATCCCCTGGGCGGCCCTGTCTTGGGGCTGTGGGGTCTGAAACTGGAGTTCCCAGGCTTTATCACCATATCTCAATTCCCCTCCCCTCCTGTCCCCAACTGCATATCGCCCCAGCTCCAGCAATTGCTCACAGAGGGATCTTTAATATGTTTTTAGTTGTTGAGTAGGGTGCGATGATAAGCCTTTGCCAAAGGGAATTGTTAAAACCTTGTGGCCTTTTCTGAAGAAGGTGGCAGCTGCTTTTCATACCCAGGGGTACAGAAATAGTCAGGCTTCATCTTGAGAAGTGTTGGAGAAAGACGCCAATTGACAGCTCTGGAAAGTGATGCCTCCCAGTGACTGAACAGCTACAGCCCTGCCCCACTCGCATATCTCAATCCTCAACTCGGAGGCACCATTTCTAGGGAGAAAAAGGGAGTTTGCCTCTGTGTGTATCCCCAGCCTTCGTTGAGACAAACGTGTTCAGTTGCAGATGCTAGTTCACTGGGAAATGGACCAAGACCCATGAACTCATTCCACACAGGGCTCACCCCCATGATGATATTGACTCATTCTCCCAAACCTATGTTGGATTTGAACCAGTAACCGAATGGCAAAAGACCCCATGGAGCCTATTGCCTGGCCTTTGAGCCACCTGGTCCTCGTTGCTCTTTGCTAAGACGCACGTAGGTCACTAGCAAAGGTGTTTGGAAGCCTACGGCGTTCACTCACATCCTGTGGGGTTTGTTTGAGGGCCAGTAGCTTGTTCTTTCAGGGGCAGGCGATGGAATGGAATAACACACCCCACGTGTGGCATGCAGATGAGCCAAGTCTACTGCTCGGGAAATGCTCCATAAACCAACGACGATGGCAGCCTTAAGGATGCTCTTTTAAAAACCTATTTATTTGATTTTAAGCCTCACCAGGGAGATGTTCACCCCTGCTCCCCCCCCAGCTCCTTGGAAAAGGTCAGAGCTATTGTAAGGGCTGTAAATATTCCATTGCTCCTGTGTGTGCCATACGTGACCTGAGGATAATCCCAGGATTTAGGTTTTCCAGAGATGCTGCTCCCTCCAAAACAAATTCAATTAAATGAGGAAAAAAATGTCACTGAGGGAGCCTGCCAAGCCAGTGGTTCGCTCTGGCTCTGTTTCCTCCTCTGGGCTAAGCTCCTGTGGTAAATTGCTTCTGCATAGCAGAGAGAAATTGGCCTAAATAAATCAGCAAGCAGCCCTAGCACATGTTCTGAAAAGAAAGCAGAATTTGCTAAACTAATTAGGATAATATCCAAACTGATGGGCTTGCCGATACCAACCACGTGTGCCTTCTGGGGAGTCTTGTGCATTGTAGCCGTGTCTGCCAGCAGGCCTAGCCCAAGAGGGACTGCTTGGGCTCTAAAATTGGACCACTGAAGTTGCTTGTTTCGTTAGAAATCTGACTGAGTCAGTCATTGGAGAGTGGAACACTCTTTGGGAGCCTTTTCAATGTAAGGCCAGAAAGACCCATTACGATCATCTAGTTTGACCTTCTGCGCAGCACAGGCTGGGGAATCTTGCCCAATAATTTTGGCTTCAAGCCCATAGCTTCTGTTTGAGCTAGAGCATATATTTTAAAGAGACATCTAGTTTTGACTTAAAGACTCCAAGTGGTAGAGAATCCATCACGTCCCGAGGTAAGTTGTGATGGTTAATTACCTTCACGGTTCACAATGAGCACCTTATTTCTAGTCCGAATGTGTCTAGCTTCACCTTCCAGCCATTGGATCTCATTCTGCCTTTTGCAGCTAGAATATAGAGCCATCTGCTATCAGAAATCCTTCTACATGTAAGTACTTGGAGACTGTGATCAAGTCACCTGTTGACCTTCTCTGGGATAATAGTCTGTCACAGTGAGGCATGTTTTCAAGACTTCTATAGCAGTGTTTTCCTTTCCCAGAGGGTTGGTATTGACTCTACCCATTCTTGGGGTAACAGGAAAGGTACCATTGTCTGGAATGGAGTGGTGTTCTTGCTACTTCATTTTAAACTCCTGGGGGTCCCTAAGTACACTGGAGGGAGACGCTTTAGACATGTAGATATTTATCCTTGTAAATACATGTTGTTATTTATATTGCGGTAGTGCCTACGAATCCCGATCATGGATCAGGCCCCTTGTTCTAGGTGCTGTACAAACACAGAACAAGAAGAGGTTTCTTGTCCCAAGAAACTTACAATCCCAGTATAAATACACTATAGATTCCAAGGCCAGAAGGAATTAATGTGATCATAGTGTCTGACATCCAGTAAAACAGAGTCTAGGACTTCCCTGAATTGGTAACAGAATCGCTGTATGATAAAAAAGTAAAGAGCCGTATCTATGCCATGCTAAGAGTCCTCGCCCATTCTGATAACAGAGGTATCTCAACCAACCACCACACGGACGTTACACCTAATCTGCATGCACCAGTTTCAGCGGTTGTAAGGAGTCAGTACGAAGAAGGGGACTGCTCAGAGTGGGGATTACTTAGTCCAGCTGCCACAATTCTTCAAAGGTTGATTCGCCACCCGCACAACCCAACACAAAGTTGCCAGCGCAACCCACCCATAACCCCCTATTCACAAATCAATAC